CCACGACACGATTTTGGTTGTTCATTTGTTCTTTAATTTTATTTTTTTCCTATCAGTGTTAATGTCTCATTTTGCAGTCTATATTTCCTACCTATTAATCTTGTTGTGGTGGTTTATGGAATGGTATACTATGGTCAAGGTTGTGAGATGCAAATCTCTCTTTCTTGTTGGTGTTTGATGTAGTAGTTAGTGGAAAGATTAAAATGTTATATGACAGAGATTCCATGTGAATGTGATGCCCTTGTTTCATGTTTTCAGGATTTGACTTCTCAAGTTCTTGTGGTGGTTTCCCTTGTTTGATGCCCTACTTTACATACTGATGTTTTCAGGCGGATCCTCGTCACAGCGGCGTTGTTTTTGGGGAGACGAGGGTCAGAGGAGGCTTCGGAGCGAATTTCAGAATTCATCGTGTAGAAAGTTTCAGAAATAATACTTTTTATGAGTTGGTGACTTTGATTGAATTTCTTTCCATTTTATCTTTTCTCTAATGTGTCCCTATGTCGATCGGTTATGCCAAATGCAAGAGTTAGGTGATCGTAACATCATCCCCATACAAATTTCAATTCTTAAAACAGATCTAATTGATGGAATGATTATTTACCCAAAACGTTGATGCAATAATTACAAATATTTCTCGGGATTGATTCAATAAATTAGCAGAGATGATTAACAAATTCATTAGTCTCGACCAGTCTCCTAATAATACGCCGCCATAATTGCTGCCAATTGGCCGTTAGAATCGTTATTTTCATCCTAAGATTCATGGGACATAAAACGTAGATTCATCGTTGATCGACCGTCGATTGGTTATGATTTCAAAGGGATTTTGGTCACCGAGGATAAGGTCGGATAAAACTTCGTCGACGACAAAAGGCGGTGGTCAGTGCGGGTATAAGGGTTAAAATGAAGGTTTTTAATATTTCGGGTTATTTTGAAATTTTTGTATGCGTTTTCTTAAACAATATAATTTTTTGGGTTAATGTGGGTTTAATGAAAAAAATTAACGCCGTTGACGGTCTAGACACCTAAAGTGGTAACGTTTATAACATTAAATATCAAGATCTTAAAAAAATAATTTAAACCCTTATTCGTGAAAAATATTGTAGTTTCGACACTTACTTTATAATTAAGCCTAAAAAATTGGTCAAATGGCAATGAATAAAGCTGAAATTTCCGTTCACAGTTTAAAAAAGGAAAAAATATTTTGTTCAAATAGAAGAAACTCTGCTGAGAATTACCTTCCTTTATGGATTTCTTTCCGTGCAGTTTCCATATCCTCCATAAGTACGGGAACTTGATTCGCCTCCATTCTTGCCTTGGCTATCTCATCGTTGACAGCCTCTAACTCTGCCTTTAGCTCCTGGTTATCCTCCAAAAATTTCTTTACATCAGCCCGTACACAAAACAGCTCAGAGTTCATCGCATCAAAGGCACGCGCTTCGGCATCCATCTTCAGTGACCAGTCGTAAACCTCCCTCACCTCCGCATCCCTCTCAGATTTTACGTTAGCAGCGGCGATAGATGGCGGAGCTCCTGCTGGGCGAGTGCAAGATTCTGCTTGAGAGCCACATGGGCGGCGGCGTGGCGTTGGTTGTCGAGGAGGGATTGGATATCGCGGTGTTGGATGGCTATTCGGTCTTCGAGGCGGTGGTGTTGATGAAAGGTGTGCGTTCGATTATGGAGCGGGATAAAGATGACGGCGGCGTAAGGTGGTTACGGCCGGACATACTAAATCGCCGTCGCTACGATCTCCGTTACTGTTTTTTTACCCCTTTTTGTTAGTTGTTTCTTGTGGGCTCTCGGTCACAGTTACTAAATATTTGGTTTAAATTACAATATGTTGATTTAGACATTCACTTGATCAGAAGAAAAAGTCACTAACAAATATCTTTACGTTAATTACGTTATGGTCTAATAATATCTGTTGGTTGATGGTCTGACAAAACTACTGCTATGCGTTTGCAATATGATATTTCGAGAAAAGATGTGTGTTCAATTGATTGAAGAAATAAAGAAAGGTTGAAGAAGAAGCGAGAATGTTGAATATTACAAGGAGTTGAGTTTAAGGATTGTAAAATTGAGCATTGGGCAGTTAGTTTGGTAATTAGGTTAGTCCAGAGTTAGTTAAACAATTACCAAATACTTGGGGGTTAACCTTTAAATGTGTGGGGTGTGTAATGTTAGAAAAATTGATTGCGGCAAAACGAGATATTAACCCTGACTGGAAAAATTTAAAATGAATTATATAATTACAAAACCGATTAATTGTATCGTGATATTAACCAATACCTTAGAAGCGAATTCACCCCAATGTATGTAATCATTACAATGAACGAATGACTCCCCTGAGGTTAGCACGACTCTCAAAGAATTCATACACTCAAAAATTGGAGTGGACTTAGGTGGTACTGCTCTTCTCTCAACTCGAATCACTCATAAAAGGTTTAATAAAATCAAGGAAAGTGTTTCAAGCAAATGTCTACCACTCTACCTTCTTACATCAAACACATCTTAAACAATTGTGAGACGCATCACTATAAATTACATAATCTTTACCTGATTTTGGCTGCACTAAAACTGGTGTTTATGTCAAAATCTTTTTAAGTGGATCAAAGTTTCCTTGTTATTTTTTAGTCTAACAATTAATACATCTTTCGTTAGTAGCTTATTAAATGGAGAAGCAATCATTGCGAAATTCTTCACAAATCTCCGATAATAGTCCATTAATCCCAAGAAACTTCAAACTTCTAAAACATTCTTCGAAGTTTTCCACTTCACTATATATTGTATTTTCTTAAGATTCACTTTAATTACCTCTATTGTAATCATGTTGTCTAGAAAAGCAACTTCTGATAGTCATAATTCACATTTCGATAATTTAGCATAAAACTTTTTATCTCGTAAAATCTACAATATGATATGAAGATGTGCATGTTGTACTTCTTTAGTCTTGGAATAAACCAGAATATCATTAATGAACACTACTACGAACTGATTCAAGTATAGCTAAAATACTCAATTCATCCAATCCTTAAATACTACTGGAGCATTATTTAGTCCAAATGACATCACTACAAACTCATAATGACCATATTGGGTTTTGAAAACCATCTTCAAAATATATTCCTTTCTAATCTTTAACTGGTGATACCATGATCGAAGATCAATCTAGTTAAACAGATCATCGATCCTTATAAGAGGGTACTTATTCACTGATGTGAAAGAATTATTTCGTAAAAAATAAGATCAATGAAAATAAAACACGAAAAGAGCAATAGCGAAATTAGCTACTTAAGCACTAGTGAACGTATCTAGAACAAGTACATAGTGATGATGAGTAATTATTCTCTAAGATAAGTGAACGAATCTTGAACTTTCTAAGATTATGGTGAACTCATAACATACATCTAACTCCTTCATCTACTGAAGTCCTCGATGTGTCTACAAAGAGTATATACAATAATGTATATATGTTTAACCCTATTTTCTCAGGATTCTAATAAGTATATTAGAAAAATGACCCAACGTTTTTCATAGAAGGTGTCTAATCTTTCTCACTTACGTAAGTTATTTCATCATGTTTATCTCAGTATAAACCATCCAAAATGTACTATAAAATAATTAATAGTTTTATCAATAGCTCATCCTCACAATAGGTATGTGAATTTCTTCAAGTTCATTAACCACCCAAACTATGAGATAATAAATCATTAAGAATAAATATTCAATCTAATTAATCGGTAAATTTAATATATTCTTCTCACTAGGAACTGTCAAACTCTTAGATTGAATTCATTAAGAGTTTTAATAAAACTTATCCTCTATAATGATAAATTTATCTAGTCCTCCGTGAGTAGGATTACCCACTCTACTCTAGGTTATGAATTTATTAAAAATATATGTTCAACTAAAAATCGGTAAATTCATTAAGTGTTTTTTACCAAGACCATCCAAAGTCTGAACTATGAATTTATTAAGAACAACTAAGTAATCTTGTTGTGCATACACATTACTCGTCATCTAAATAGATAGATAAAAATCTACACCCTGAGTTTTTCTGTGTAACGAGATAAAATTATGAATTTTGTTATTTAAATTATAGATAAAACATTTGTTTTACTCTCCTCTATCAAACCCTACTCACTCCCGTCTAAGGTCTTTATTATCTAAGCTGTCCTTTCAAAGTCCCTTTCTTTTGTAATTGCTTTCGTCGTTTTCCGCTATTTCTCTTTGATCGTCGGTGGTTATGTCGCATCTCATCATTAAGCTGGACAATTATTGATGTTTCCAAAATTATGAGTATGGGCGCATTGTTTTAGGACCGTTTGATCAGTTGGGTTTGAGAATCAAAGAATATGCACAAGTTTCAAGGAAATCAACCTATGGCGTTGGCACCCCATCGCATTAAGAAGCCAACCGCCCTTGTGTTCAGTTCTCCTCTTGTACGACGAGTTATACATTCGAAAATAGTTTTCTTAATTTGATAAACAAATAGTTAACATAGCTAACATACAGCTTAATTATACTTGTATGTGTGTATATGATAAAATTGAATACACAGTTATTTATTTGGACATTAATGTCCAACAGAGAATGTGTAATCAGAAAACCAGAGCTGCAAACCCAACCCTTTACTCTTGGCTCAGGCTTCCTCTCGGCTTCCGTTTCATGTTTTTTTCTCCTTAATTACTCGGTGCCGGGTCTTGTACTACAATGAACCAATTTGTCATCTCATGCATATGAAAGCACCATAATGGAAATTAGGCGGTCCAATTCACAACCACATGCAGCAAAAAGGTTCAAAGAGCCCTAGTATCTATTTCCAAACTGGAACTGGATAGCCAATCAGAACAAGGTATAGAGTGAATTGACCAATAGCGGGAGGATAAGGTGCCATGTAGGATCAAAATGGCATTTTCCAAAAGAAAAAACCCCGAAAGAAATATCTCAGCCTGTAAAGTTAAAATTGCCGTGCATATATGAAGAGGGAGTAAAACTAAGAGTAGAGGGAGAAAGAGGAAACTAATGGGGTACAACAATTCATTGTTAGTAATGAATCCAAAGAAGGAAGAACAAGAAGTTCCGGATGGTACTACCTCTGAATTCGACGACACCAAAGGAAGCTACGCAGTTGGAGAGATTGATATCATCGATGAATTTGATGGTATTTTGGGGGATGAGCATGGAGGTTTGTCGGGAGATACGATAGATGGTCATCTCAGTTGGGACTTCATGGACTGGGAAAGCGGATTCCAGCATGCGGATGAAGAAGAAGAAGGTGAAGAGGAGGAGGGAGACCACAATGTTTACAGTGCCCAATGCTTTGAAGAAGAAATCGAATATAACCAAGCTGTGAAGACAGAACAACTTGGTTTCTGGGAATGGGATGATGAAAAAAGGGTCTCCCTCAACTTGAATTTGAATTACCAAGATGTGTTGGATGCATGGTCGGATCGTGGGCCTCTATGGGCTGATGATTGTTCCATTTCGACGGTCATCAATGGAAATGGCTACTATGTTAGTATTTCACTTAACTCCTCTGCTAATTCTTGTTTCTGTTAATTATCAGCATCATAGACACCGTTTAAACTTTTAAAGTCTAGTCTGTGTAATTAGGAAGTGGAAAAACAGAGGATTTTGGCTATATAGTAGTTGTGTGTAGTGATAGCATTCTGCAAGAAGTTTAACAAATAAAATTGTATAGACGGGAGAAGTGCCAATGATGGAAGTAGAAGAAAGGAGAAGAAGGGAAGCGAGTGTTCTCAGATACAAAGAGAAGCGGCAGACTAGATTGTTCTGCAAGAAGATAAGGTATCACGTTCGCAAGCTCAATGCGGATAAACGACCCAGGCTCAAGGTTTGTCCTCTTCTCTTTCTCCTTCACTATAAATCATGCAAGTAAATGTAATGCATCCAAATTTGGTTGCTACAGGGCCGGTTTGTGAAGAGAGTTTCCTAAGTGAAGAAAACCCATACGTTGTTTCAAATATCTTTTTGCATGATATTTGTCTCAATGAAAAAGAAAATATCTTTTCTCAAGTCTGTCTCGCCCATTAGATAAATTGCGAAATATCTTCTCATCCCCAGCTTTCTATCGTGGATAAAATTGATCTTAAATCATAACCATACCCCCAAAGAAAAAGAATGTTGTATTTCTGGTATTTTGTCATCGACTGCATCAGCAACAAGGCCTAGAAATAGGTTTTTATTGTATTATAAATAGAAAGGTGAAATGCGAGGGAATTATTGTGTATCAAATCCTTGTGGGGACTACACCAATGGTCCTTGTGCATGTTCATGATTTGATTTGTACCACGCTATTGGTGGGAGCTTCTTTCTTGAGTCTTTCCCCTTTATGGATCCCTTTTATTTCTGATGGGATGTCCATCCACCGGAAATGTTCCGCAAGGACACTGCCAATGCCTTTGATAAATGATACGGAAGTGAATCGACTCCACAAATACTTTTACCGGAACCAATCAGAGAAGATGTTTGAAACTTATAAAATGAAAGAGAAAGATGGCTGGGACTTGGCTCTGCAACCACCACATTATTCCTGCATTACCTGATTTAGACATTTTAACAAAAACATCTTTATGCATAGCTGTACCATTTTCTTATCGCTTGAAACTTAGTTATCCTTACTTGAATTGAATTGGATCATTAAAGATTGCAAGTCCATCATCTCAATGACAACTCGGGCGGTGAAGATTACCCATGATTCTTGTTGACAAAACCCAAGACTTTTGGTAACTTAATGTTGATTTTGTGAAGGACTGGTGTTACTGTGAACATTGTAATACCCCATTTCCTTCTCTTTTTGCTCTACCATTATTGGCCACATCGCAATTCACAACTTCCTATCCTCTGATTTCCCATTATTCTTCTTTCATTTAACAAAGGAAAAACAGTACTAATAACACCGTATGATTCAAGGCCATAAGGATTTAAATTATGAATTCATATTTATACAATAAATCATATAATATTACCTTATTAAAATAATTTATGTGGATCAGCTTGTAAGAATTTTGGTAAAAGATGACATTTAATTTTGGGTAAACAACTTCAAATATCACTCACTTTTAAGCTCAGGCTAGAAATTGCCATTTACATTTCAATTTTGTCAATTTTATCATTGACGTTTATGTTTCATTGCAATTATGGCTTAACGACAAGATGACGTGGCATCTCTGTGCCATGCCGTTGCTGACGTGGCTTCCTCACCAAAACGACGTTGTTTTCTTAGAATCATTTGATGAAAATTACTTTCCAAGGGATTTGAACCAAAGTATTTGTATATATTCTTAATTAACAAAACTAATATATATATTTAAATTGTAGTTGTATACTTGTTCTTCACTCTCGTCTCTTTCTTCTCCAACGTTTTCAACAATGGCATCTGTCGATCTCTACGAATCCAATAAAACGATTAATGCCACTACCGATGGCAACCACATTGACCATGGCTGGCAAAAGGTATCATATCCCAAACGCCAACCCAAGACCAAGCCGAATGTCGATCCTCAAAGGCTTAGCCTTTCCCTCCTCAACGGGACCCTAACTAACGACGGCGCTAACGTTTTCCATTCCCTTGAGAAGCAGTCTGAGCATTGCCACCGTCGGATTCTAGAAGCTCAAAGAGCTTACATTGATGTTGATGCTAATATGAAGGCCAAGCATAACAGATTGAACCTCGATGACGACGATGGTGATGATAACAATGATATGGAAGGTGTTAGACCTGACGGATAGCCGACAGAGGAGAAGAAGGTGAAGCAAAAGAAACCGAAGAAGCCTAAGGTTACGGTTGCAGAGGTCGCTTTGAAGATCAATCCCATTGATCTCTCGACTTATCTCGCTGAAAGAGTCGAGAATGATAAATTTTATGTATTTTTTATGGTTTTGTACATTGTAGATTGATTGACTATATTTTATTGGTTTGAAAAATTAGGAGTTGAATGAAGAACAACCGGAAACTCAAATGCAGAAGTGTGCGAATTTTTATGGGAAGACGTTTCAAGAAGTGGTAGCTGGACGGTTTCCATGGATGAAGATGTTTAGAAAAACATCATGGATTTGGATTGACGAAGAAGATGAAACTATATAACTACAATTTAAAACATATATTAGTTTTGTTAAGAACATTTGAGGTTATTAAGTTAGCTTGTTGGTTGGGTGTTCAGTATTTGTTTATGAAGAACTTTGGTTTGAATCCCTTGGAAAGCAAGTTTTCAACAAATGATTATAACAAAACAACGTTTTTTTGAGCACCGAAACGACGTCATTTTGGTGAGAGAGTCATGTTAGTGACATTTTCGAGCTCGAGTTTAAAGGTGAGTGATATTACAAGTAGTTTACCATATAATTTATTGATACCGTATAATAATAAATCAACCATAAGGGCTTATACTACCCAAGTTGAAAGAGAAATCTATAGCACACCCGTACAATTCAATTTGGGCTGAGATGTGAAGAAGATGCTGTTAAAATAAATATCTAAGATTATATTTTTAGTCAAAATATGTACTTAAAATATTTTTCGTCAAAATATATACTTAAACTATTTAAACTTTTTCATTTAAGTTTTAAAAAAATTGGCATGCGACATTAATTAAATATTACTTTAGATATTTAGATGAAAATATTGAATATTTTAAGTACTTATTTTGATCAAAAAATTCTTTAGATACCTATTTTGACTAAAACGATAACTTTAGATACTTATTTTGATAAAAAAAATACTCCAAGTATTTAAAAGGAAAAAATTATATTCTTTAGATACTATTTATTATATGCACCTTTTATTTTTTAATTAACTTTTTATTTTATTGAACAAAAACGGAAATTTTCTAATAGTCATGACACATTAAGTGTAAATTTCAATTTTAAAATTTAATTAAATTTTAAATTATATATATATTTTTCTCACTTAAATCAAATGAATGAACAAAATACTAATATCATTTCGAATGAACTAAAAATTTAATGGAACTTAAACCATAACTACCTGAGTCGTCAGCCGTGAATAAATCAAAGGTGGTGACTCAACTGTCTTCAGCCGTGTCTGAGTCGAGTCGAGTTAAGTTAAAAAATTTTGAGTAATTCGAGTTGATGAGTCGTATTTTACAATTCAAACTTAACTTGAATTTTTTTTAGTAGAGTCAAATTTAAGAAATTTGAGTTGAGTTATTTGAGTAGAGTTATTCGAGTTTCTATGCTAATTTTATTATAATTATTTATAGTATTATGGTAGGATTGGTTCTGGTTTTTCGACTTTCTCTAATCATATAAGATATATATTTCACATTATAATGTTATTCAATATATCAAATACAATCTAAAATTATAAAATATATTCACAATGTTATATTTTTTTTTATTTTGAGGGTAAAATATTTACGAGAGTATAAAAGAGTCAAGGAATTGATGAGAATAAAAAATTTGCAAACAATTGCGGTCAAAAGACCAAATTGAGTAAATTGCAATGTTAAGGTCTAAATAAAAAAGAGATTATATTTTTAGTAAAAAAATAAGAATTGAAGTTACATAGGTATTCTATAGTGATATATGAGCATGTGGTTTAAATTTGGTAAAAAATGAAATTAAATTAAAGTATGAATTGGAGAAATAAAGAAATTATGAAAATTGAGGGTTTGGAGCATGTGGTTGAAATTTAGCTAAAAATAGACTTAAAATGAATGAGGAATTGAAGGAATAACGAAATCAGAGACTAAATCGTAAAAATATTAAAATCATAGTCAAATTTTTGGTTTTTTTGAGTTGCTCGAAATTTTTAAATTTCAACTCGACTCAAACACGAAAACTGAATTGATAATTCGAGTTGACTTGAATAACTCGACTCGAATAACTTAAAATAAAAAAAATAATTTTTAGAGTCGAGTTTTGCTCATCTCAAATTTTAAACGTAGTTGAATAATTAATGTTTGGATGACCCAATGCAAGTATAAGTTACCGCACTGTGAAAAACAGGACTCTCCAAAATAACACAGTTTCAGATATCATACGAGTTAAATTCTACTCCAGGATCCATGTATTCTTGAAGTCACATAAGATGAATCACGTCATAAAGAAACCAATCGCCGTTAGCCATGTTTTGGTTGTGCCATATCCAGCCCGTAGCCACATCAATCCCATGATGATCCTCTACAAGTTTATGCTCTTCAAAAACAAAGATATCCTCGTAAACATTTGTTATCACTGAGGAGTGGTGTGGCATCATAGAATCAAAGCCCAAACAAGACAATATTCGCTTCGGCACCATCCCAACGACTACACCTCCGTGCTAGACCGCATCGGAGATTACGCTCCTGGCTATATGGAACAAGATTTGAGGAAGATGGAGCCTCCACTGGAGCAGCTCATAGATCGGCTTCAAACTCCGGAGACCACCATCATTTACGATACTTATCTCACGTTTGTTGTCAGCGTGGGGAACCCAAGGAATATTCCATTGGCATCGTTTTGGACTATGCGGATCTTGGTTTATTCCGTCTTCCATCATTTTGATCACCTGGTTTAGAATGTTTCTCAATTAACCTGTCAGGTAGTTAGATAATAAAGACTTGAACTTTTTTTCCTTCCTTCAGGATCGTTTACAGTCATCTATCATTTCATTTTATTATTGGCTTGATATGCAGAAGAAGGAGAGGAGCTTGTTTATTGCATCCCATAAGTTTCTTCAATTCAGAAAGTAACCTTCCCAAACACATGTTGTCACACCTTATTTTTTTTCGGTTTTAAAATTTTAAATTTCTGGGACTAACTTCGAGGACCAATTAATGCTTTATTAGAAATTTATGAACCAAACGATAGTTCAAAAAATTTTGAGGACTTGAACCAGGATTGTCCTATCAATCTTTGGCTTTAATAATAATAATAATAAATAAAAATTCAAATGTGTAGTTAAGGGTAATGAACCCATGTCCTTTGGCAACTATGCCTAAGCCTTAGCCATTCAAGATAAACTACTAATGTGATTTAATAAAACAAT